GCGTCAAGCATAAACCAACCTTGACAAACCTGCGTGCGCACGTTGGCCAACGAGCACACAGCAGAGGAAAACATGCGCGTGGCTATGGAAAGCCAAAACCGCCAAAATATGCCACTTTCCCAACCCGTCTAGTTAAGAGAGGGAAAAAAAACGCTGTTTGATCTGTCAAGATGTCGTAAAATACGGCGAAAACTCTGCCAGAACGCCGTATTTGACGCCGTTCTTAATGGTCCCGTAGAACACCCGTAAAAAACGACATTTTTTTCAGGACATTGAACACCGTTTTTTACGTCACCCTAATCCCAGACGCGTTCCCTGTGTGGGTGGCGTAAAAAACGGCGTTTGGTACGGACATTGAACACCGCTTATTTCGCCGTTCTGTGACATAAAACGCCGTTTTTAACGCCACTTTGTGACAGTTTTCACGCGTTTAAAATTCAACTTTACTCTCATTTATGCAGAGCCCTCCCCATGGGTTTCTCATCCACTTAATTTAAACTCCAGTGACCCAATGAAAGAAGAGGAGGCTGAAGCAGCACTAATTTATCCCAGATTCGCCGGGCTGTCGGGCTGTGCGGACTACTGTTTTCTAATACAACTCGGCTCTGTTTCAACTAATTTCACTGTATTGAAAAAGCCTTGAAATGTAGTAATATTATCAACAATGTGTCAACATTATTATTTTTCTGTCTACCTGTAAAAGGCAGAAACGCTGTTTCAGTCAGACCTGATGATTACTTAAAAGTGTGGCCACTAGATGGTGCCATGTATCAGTCTGTCCTTGTTTCGTGGCTCGTGAGTCCAGCTGGAACATCAGTGCTCTTTCTGTCCAAAACTCCATTCTTCTTAAGTTCATCCACTTTCAGTATTTACTACTGTTTTTTGTTTGTTTGTTTGTTTGTTTTTTTGTTGTTGTTTTTTTACTACTGTTATACTCATCTTACAGGAGCTTCTGAAGATGTTCTGTCATGCTTCTCCATCATCGCTCTCCAGATCCTCAGACCAGCCACTCCAGAACCTTCCCAGATCCAGGATCAGAGCACTTTAATAAAAGTTTGAAACATGTCTGCTTGTTGTTCTCCTATAGAAGCCTTAAACTAGAATTTTCTAATGAGCTTTCTTGGCTAAAATATGCTCTTGAATGTTTTTATTTACATAAATATTTCAAGAAAAACGTTTTTCATTGCTGCTTTACCAAGACATGACTCTGCAAATGTCCTCATGATCCTGAAACGCTGGTTAAAACAAATCACTTTCAACCTCTTATAAAACAAACGTGTCTGTTGATGATTACGCCCACTACAATACTGAAGCACCTGCACTTGCTACTGATTTGCTAACTTTCTGTAATATTTTGATATTTAAGTTGAAAACATGAACTGCTGTAACACAAATTTCAAATGTTCTAGATGAGCACTTGTTTCTAATCAACTAATCATTATTTCTGTGATTAGTCAGCTTATTCCTTTTCAATAAACATATGGAAAAATTACAATTATCTTACTGAAAAAATGGTTTAACAGTGTTGCACATGTATAATAATCTACAATGGTTTTGACAGTTACGGCATTCTTCAAACTATAATAATAAAATAAAGTGAAAAGTTATTTACAATTGATTACTTCAAGTTCCTACTATTTACATTTTATGCATCGATACTGTAAATGGCTGTTTACTAAGGCATACAGAGTCAGTGCCTGTACTTTTATTGGATTGGCTTAGTGTCTGGCTGCAGAAGCAGAACAGATGGACTGAAGCAACCGTCTCTTTAGGTTTTGAGCACTACAATTTATGAAAAATATTTACAAATTTATAATTAGATATAGATTTAGGAAGACATCGAATGGATGCAACGTATCAGCTGGAGTTGTTCCTTCTGTAAGAATCTCTTGATGTTAATTAGGTTTCTCGTGTTTGCACCTTATGACACAAAGCAGCTCAGACTGTCAGGTCTTTCAAGTGATGCTTTTGGGCCTGGTCCCTGGTGGTTTCCAGACATGATTTAGTTTACAGATCTTTAGCTGCACATGGAATGTTCTCATACGGGGGAGGTCCAGGAGGGGGAGGACCAACCTTACCTGGATGTCCCATGTCCTATATGTATATATATATATATATATATATATATATATATATATATATATATATATATATATATATATATATATATATATATATATATATATATGTGTGTGTGTGTGTGTGTGTGTATATATATATATATATATAGCCATGCCCTGATGTGGGGCTGGGGGGTGCGTCAACATGGTCGGGACATAGAAGGGGGTGCGCAGCTAAATAAGGGAACCACTGCTTTAGAGTATATGTACACATGTGTGTACCAAGTATTATCTTTTAGAGTATATGTACACATGTGTGTACCAAGTATTATCTTTTAGAGTATATGTACACGTGTACCGACTCAGAGAAGCATAAATGAGGCTATAGTTTAAAAATGGGATAGGTCTCAAGTTTAGGTGGATGATGGTGTTTTTGCAATGTACTGACGTCTGATTTGTGCTAATAATGAACTTTTACAAGCTGATAAATCTCAAAGTACATGACAGGCATGGTTGAAACACACATCATTGCTTTTCATTTAAATAGAAGTACAGCATACCAAAGCGGATTTGAAAATAGCTCTTTTTGCCTCGTTGACTTCCGTGAATTTTTTTCGTTCTTCCCGAGACCCATGAGCCGACCAGAAAGGGAGGAGACTTAGGCTCCCCATAACATTATGATCAGAGAGACCAAGAGGTGGGTGCAGAGGGAAGTTTCCAAAGTGCAAATCAATTCCAAAGTTCTGCATCCTTGTGGGCGTGTTACATGCTGCTCCAAGTGTGGTTGATGTGTGATGATATCACGCTTGTTCAAATTACCAAGTAAGAAAACATGCTATTGTTCATGTTGCATGTATGTTCAGCTGTTGTTACAATCAGGTCCCTGTGCATACGCTCAAATCAGTGATTTCTGAGCATTCTCTAGGCAGACAACATGGACTCAAGGACAGTCATTAACTCAGTGTCTGCAGGACTCAGTTTCTCTCACTGGAATATTTGTTAACCACTTACTGTTGACATCCATCCAGAGCCCCAAGCCATTTCCACGTTCTTGCTGCATCCCTGTCATATCGAATGATGTTAAACCCGTCCAGCCATGCCTCCAGAGTCACGTCTCCGTAAAACAGGAGAGGCTTGTCAGTTGATAGTCCAGATCAGTCCTTACAAGTGCTGAGAGTTCCTAAACCTTATTCTGAAGTGATCAAGTATTTGATAAGGGGGTGGCAGGAAAACGTAGCCGACTCCCTCTCATCCTAAAAATGTTTAGTATCCTTCCTCTAGATCATCGGTTCCGAAACTTATTTAGCTGCGCACCCCCTTCTATGTCCCGACCATGTCGACGCACCCACCCCCCCCCCCCAGCCCCCACATCAGGGCATGTCTCTCTCTCTCTCTCTCTCTCTCTCTCTCTATATATATATATATATATATATATATATATATAAACAGGCAGGGTTAAAAAATTCCCCATCACTTTCATTTTTTAAATAGTAATTAATAAACATTCGATATCATTACAATTTCCTTTGATTTCATTTTAAATAAATATTTAGAGTGCCCAGGTAGCACATAAACAATGCAATTTAACGGTTTTCTTAAAGTAGGAACGTTTAACCTGTGCGGCCAGAGCGCTCTCCTTCCTTCTGCTCTGCGTAAACCTGAGCTGATCACCTACTTGTGTGTAATCAAATGTCTATAGGGGACAAGATATAGCCATGATGTTCACTTTTACCTCAGACCGACTTATTGCTGTTTTATGGTGTGGCTGAATCTGCGATCCGCTGTCATGCGGACTGGAATAACAAATGCTGCAGTAACAGGACTTGTGGTCAGGTTCATGAGGAGTCACTGGCTGGAGCGGACTCGACTCATCCCAGAAGCTAATATCTTAATTTGACCTTGAATGAAAAATAACCTCTTAAAAGTTTTTATCACGGTGGAGGCAGCGTTCATTTCTGCCTTCAGTCTGACGGCGCGCCGGAGTTAAAGCAGCGTGCGCGCTTATTGAATGTGTGTGTGCGCGCGCGCGGCACAGCCGCTCAAGTCACCGCGTCTCGTTATTGGCGCTATTTAAACCAATGTTGTAAAATTACTTCTGCCCAGCCCAGATGTGCTCACATGTGCACCCGTGAGCCGTGGTTCAGCCAGAACGCGTCTGACCTCTGACAGACGCACTCTGAACTTCAGATCTTCAGCGCGCTGTCAATAGCCTGAATGGGAATCATTTCTTGTTATTTTGTTACATCCACAATGTTCTGTGTGAGGTTTACAATTTCAGAACACCTGCATGAGACAGGTGTTAATTACAATCTGCCAGAATGACTCACCTTCAGATTCCTCCAACACCGTTAAAAATGATCAAATACGGAACATATCGGCGTGCGCAGGCCAGAGTGCTGAAGCTCGGCGCATTGTTATTATGAAGCTAGGGCACATGCGGAGGACACACGCGCAAAAATATACTTGTTTTCAATTACATTTATTGGGCCCACTTACTTTTTCTTTGGCCCACCCACAAATGAGTTTCTACGCTAATGGTGACACATGACAGACTTCTCTGAGCTCCGCAGCCATTACACTTTTCACCTCGCGCACCCCCTATGAAACCCCCAGGGGTGCGCGCACCACACTTTGGGAATCCCTAGAGTCCCTTCTCCTTTAGATCTATTTTAGATTATGTCCCTAAAGTAGTCTGGAGGCTCATTATTTCTACACCGGTCTTAGTTAACAGCGGTTCAGCTCCAGCAGGCAATCCCGTGAGTGAGTGAGTGAGTGAGTGAGTGAGTGAGTGAGTGAGTGAGTCAGCCTGGGGTGAAGCTGCAAGGCTGTGAATAAAGTCTTTTTACATGCCATAGATCAAAATCCACAAGCAGACCAAATAAATCCTCGCTGTAGGCCGAAATTACAAAAACTATGTCAATAAGAACAGGACACAAGTGATCCGTGTCAAGAGTCACTTCCTCGTGTTTATTTATTAATAATTCATTAGTGAATGGATTTCATTTTGCTTTAGGATAATTATTTATTTCCCACAAATATAGAAAAGAGGTTTACGGTGCTCTCATTTTAACTTTGAGTTAAAAACAAGATGTCAAAATGTTTTACATCACAAGTTTGTTTTTCTTTTTTTTTTTTAAAGCTGAAAATGAAGCTGCTCTGGGCAGAGTGAACCCCAGACCTCATAAATACCTCTGACCGTAAAGGTCAACACACAACCTCTTTTGTTTATGTGAGAATATTAATAGAAACACAAAAACTCAATGTACGCAGTTGGTAACATCATTTTAAATAAAATGAGTCACTTTTGTGTTTATCTTTGACCCCTGAAAGATTTTAGTTTGCATTTCAGCAACAAGTTTCCTGTGGAAACGGAATGAAGGATTTTTATTGTCTTTATGGTTTGTTTTCGGCTCAAGAGTTTAAAGATGAAGGGGAAAGGTGGAGCTGGATCTAAAAGCAAACGTGTAAACGAAATATTAAAATGTTCCATCAAATCTTCTGACGATTAATTAACAGAGGTGTGACCAAGTCATTGCTTTGCAAGTCGCAAGTAAGTCACAGGTCTGTCCAGTCAAGTCTTGATCCAAGTCAAGTCTGAAGTCAATGATCTGGAATGGTTTATTCATCATTTCTATACATAATCCAGACTTTAGCTGTGCTAAAGAAAATGAACCTGCCACATTCCATCAAAGGTCAGCAAAGAAAAAACGAGTGATCTTGTCCAGTTCCTTCATCAGGATCAGGAGTCCGTTAGCACACAGAACCATGTGACACTTTCAGTACTTGACAGAATTAGCCTAATTACAAAGTTACAATAAAATCTGGGTGATGTCGCCGTTCCCTCACGTGAAGAGACGTTCTTCATCTCAAAGCAGAAGCAGACAAACAAAGCTGAAACATCTAAATGATCAATAAATACTGTGATATCATTACAGAGGCTTGTTTATGTGTGGATCTATAGTTGTGTGCACCATGAAGAGTGATTCTGCATTCCACCTTCTAGAAAACATCCATGAAGGTTCAGGAACTAGAGATGACATAGCAGAGCTGAACAGAATGAGTGGTTTTGGCCTCCAGTTCACCCCCTCTGCTCCTAGTGCACCCCCACCTATGGTGAGAAACTGCAAACACGAGTTTGTCACGCCGACACCAGTTAGCTCTTCTCAGGTCGGTTCCTGTTGAGAGCTGCTTTAGGTGTGAACTCCAGTTTCTCCTTCAGGCTGAGCACCTGAGTGCTATCTTTACCCACTTGCTCCTGCAGCTTCCTCTCCTCCCTCAGTTCCAAAATGCTCCTCTCCTCTCGGGGTATGGGCGTCCCCCTAACAAACCACTCCAGGTGATAGCCCACTGCGCCCACCACGAAGGCCACAGGGAAGGTGACATAAGGCGCGTAGGTCCGCAACGCGGTCCAGACTACAGGCCACATGACTGCTGCTCTAGCTCCCAGGTGAGTCCTGGGGAGGAAACAGAAGCAGAATGACTACATTCCATTATTTTCTCTTTAGAAATAAAATCTAGCAAACCAAGAGCTTTCATGTAATCTACTAGCACCTTCTGGTGGTTAGAAGGTTTTTGTAAGGGCAATAAAAGTTGTTGCTGGGCGTTTCATTTGTCTGAACTTTTTTTCTAAAGCCAAACTTTTCTGCTTTTGTGTTTACAGCATATTCTTTACAGATTGGTGTATGGTCAATATCAGTTTACTAGTCTTGTGAATTGTATACTTAATGCAAAATATTTTAGTAATTTCTAAATAATACATTTTGTGTCAAAGGGCCAGCAATTATTCCTGTTAACAGAATATATGAAATACATATATATACACATGTAAATATGCCTAAAAGTTACACATCAGCAGCTTTTCACTGTAAAGAAGCAATAAAAAAATCATAAATAGTAACATGAATATTAACTGCTCACTCGTATGAACTTAGACCTACTGTGTATAGTGCCTGTAATAACAAATGGTTGAAAATTAAATGTTGCTGTAGGAGGCGTGCTCCCTAAAGTGGAGGCTAGTGGGCTTAAGGGGTTAATTAAAACGATTTCCACTAATTACTTTATCCTGATATTTAATTTTATTGCATTTAAAATAAACACGTGCACATACATTACTCACCTGCTAACTTAAGCATAGGTATGTTGTGCCTATTGTCCGGCAACTGATTATTTGTTGGTGGTATCTGTGTTTTATAATCTCACTGGGGATGGCCAAAAAAAATCCATACATTCATATTTAAACCTGGAGTCCTGTCTGTTATAACATTATAACTATTTCTTTATTTATTTTCTTTCAATTGTGTTGTTCGGTAGGAGGGCCGCCGTTATTGTACTCGGGGGTAGCTCAACAGGGGGGCGTGTTTTGTCAGGGTGGGGGGTGCCGGGGGCGTGTTTGGCCGGGGCTGCTTCTGCAGCTAGGTATTATTGGAGTCACAGGGGTCACTCGGAACTTCTCGGGCGAGAAGATCCAGGGAGACCCGAACGTAGCTATCGGCGCGTAATTTACTCGCGACAAGGTGCGCTACGTGTCACGTGCGTGACCTTGTTTACATTAGTACTCGACCTGCGCAGAGCGCGAGATACATCCACTCTGTTTACTGCCACTAGCAGTCAGGAGGGAACGAAACAAAACCACCCACACTGTCTCATTCCGCCTGATGGTTCCCCTCAACCGGCTAAGATGAATTTAACACCGACATGAAACCAGGAAACGTCATTTAGAAGCTCACATTTGTCCTATGTGTTACCAAGTACACACAATCACGCAATTTTCCGCTTTATTTCCGCATGAGAAGTTTAATCCAGAAGACTGCGCTTACCTTTGTTGCTGGCACGTTAACCTGCAGCGGCGCAACTTCCGCACACACCGTCTCTTCTTCGTGGTTTGATGTCAGAGCCTGAAAGTGTGTTTCTGCCCTCTGGCGGTGCATATGGAACACCACACCGAAGTCACATTTCAGTGTAACAGAATAAAGCCGTAAGCAGCAGTTATAAATCACGTTTCTATCAACATCAGTATTTAAACACATTTTCTGTTCTGTGTAAAAGTTCTAAGTCACCTCTGATTTCTTTTTCCTTTAGCTTCTAACATCTCACTTTGTAATATTCAGGTTTCTGAAGGTTTTCACCACGATCACGACGTCCATCCGTATCACATAGTTTAACAGATTAGATCTATATATCACTCTGATACAGTGAGAGATGCATTTGAGTTACTTATGAGATTATCCAGAGAGCAGTTGCCCCTCACCAGAATAACACTTGTTTAGAGCAGCAATGTTACAGGACCTTTTGAAGACAGGCGGCATTTATTTAGATATATCTATATGATCCGATTACGGCCACTAGGAAAAAATGTCTATGAAAGTTATGCTGGCAGCAACTTTCATAGACATGAAAATAACCAGACAGAAAGATGGAACCCCGAACATAAACACATACAGAAAACAAACACACGGACCAATATTTATTATGGACATCAGAACATCCTACCATACATAAAATATCAGTAATCAGACACTCTACCACGGAGCCAACACAATAACAGAAGAAGAGGAATGCAGACAAGAGGACCAACACATACAAAACGCTTTAAAAACCATGGTTACATTGTGATTTCTTAGTAAATATTCTATTTGGTGAGAGATAAAAGTTATTGTATTTATCCTAGTGAATCTATAACTAAACCGGTAAACTAGTAGTAGCACATTCAATGTCAAAGAAATTGGAGAGGGAGAATGTTTAAGTGGTTAGCAACAGTGTTCAAGTCGATGGCCCCCTCCATGAGGCCACCACAGCTCAGCAGAACATCATTGTAGGTTTTCTGGGAAGAAAAACACTCAGAGAAAAAATAAAGTTAACAGCTGAAATAGCAGGTAATAATACAGTTAAAGAGCAAATTATAGAAGAAAGTAGTCGAGCGTGGAAGGTGGTCGGGATGTCCTCCAGCAGTCTAAGCCTATAGCAGCATAACTACAGAGATAACTCTGGATAACCTAGCCTTTTTAGATGGAGGCATGTTGGAGGCAGGGCAAGGGAGAGTCGTCTTTACCGACTGTACACTCCACCTCCCTCTACTCCCCCACTTGTCCTGATCTGGACTAACATCAGGTTTTAACCATAGGCCCTATCAAATAAAAATGTTTTAAGCCTAGTCTTAAAAGTAGACAAGGTGTCTGCCTCACGGACTAAAGCTGGGAGCTAGTTCCACAGGAGAGGAGCCTCATAACTAAAACATCTGCCTCCCATCCTAATTTTAGATATTCTGGGAACCACCAGTAGACCTGCAGTCTGAGAGCGAAGTGCTCGGTTAGGAACATATGGAACAATTAGGTCACTGATGTATGATGGAGCTTGATTATTAAGAGCTTTATATGTGAGAAGGAGGATCTTAAAATCTATTCTGAATTTAACAGGTAGCCAATGTAGGGAAGCTAAGACAGGAGAGATATGATCTCTCTTTTTAATTCTTATTAGAACTCTAGCTGCAGCATTTTGGACACGCTGAAGACTTTATCTACATTCTGTGGACTTCCTGAGAGTAATGAATTACAGTAATCCAGTCTTGATGTAATAAATGCATGAACTAGTTTTTCAGCATCACTCCTGGAAAGGATGCTTCTAATCTTAGCAATAATCCGAAGGTGGAAAAAGGAAATCCTAAAAACCTATTTAACCTGGGATTTGAATGACATGTCCTGGTCAAAGATAACACCAAGGTTCCTTACTTTATTCTCGGAGATTAATGTAATGCCGCTCAGATTGACTAAGCAATTTCCTTTTCTGAATTTCGGGTCCAAAGATGAGAACTTCAGTCTTGTCTTGATTTGAAAGCAGAAAGTTTTGAGACATCCAATTTTTTATGTCTTCAAGACAAACCTGTAATCTAACTAACCGATAAGGTTCATCAGGGTTAATGGATAAATATAACTGAGTATCGTCAGCATAACAGTGGAAGTTTATCCCATGCTGTCTAATGATTTTACCAATTGGAAGCATATACATAGTAAAAAGAATTTGTCCACGCACTGAACCCTGTGGTACTCCACAAGTAACCCACAAGTAAGTATGAAGACGATTTGTCATGTACATTTACAAAATGAAATCTATCAGACAGGTAAGATTTAAACCAGCCTAGTGCTGCTCCTTTGATCCCTACAACATGTTCAAGCCTTTCTAAAAGAACATTGTGATCAACTGTGTCAAAGGCAGCACTGAGATCTAACAAGACTAGAACAGACACAAGATTCTTATCTGAGGCCATGAGAATATCATTTGTAACTCTCGCTAATGCAGTTTCAGTGCTGTGATACTCTCTAAAACCAGACTGAAATTCCTCAAACAGAGCATTAGTGTTTAAATGCTCACATAGTAGAAAGGCCACTCTTTTCTCAAGGACTTTGAATAAAAATGGAAGGTTAGATATTGGTCTATAATTCATTGGGTCATCTGGATCCAGAGAAGGCTTCTTAAGTGAAGGTTTGATTGCAACCTTAAAATCCTGTGGTACGTATCCATTTACTAAGGATAGATTGATTATATCTAGAATGGGAGCAGTAACCAAAGGAAATGCATCTTTAAATAATTTGGTTGGGATTGGATCTAAAATACAAGTTGAAGGTTTAGATGAAGCTAATATTTTTGATAACTCTGAAAGCTCAACTGGATCAAAACGGTTCAAACACAGATGAGGTTCTACAGTTACCTCTGATGCTGCCTCACTTACTGAGGAAAAAACATCTCTGCAGGAGTGTCCAAGGCGAATGTGGGGACAACAGACTACTCCCCACACACACACAGAGCTAGATCATAGTGTCTGAAGCACTAGTGTCTTGTGATGTAGCCAGATCACTGCTGATCCTTATCAGCTACACTAGCATTTAGCTTAGCATCTATAAACCTAGCGGGTGTAGCTCTGCTGCGTTTCAGCTTACCGGTATGCTGCTTAGTGAAAGCAACAAAATGCTAACCATAGAATACTAAAGGCTAACTTTCATTGTTTTCTCTATATAATTGAAGTTGCTCCAAGGAATAAAAAACAAACAATGCATAAATTAAAACCAACGTTTATATAGACTCAGAGTAAAAACACATTTTCAAATTTCCTCCAGTTTTAATATTGTAATGCAACAAAAATACAATGAGAAAGTTATGAACTAATGTTAGAAAACCAGTTTGTGGTGAAGCTACCAGCAGACCTTCCATTAGTATTTACAGCAACCATCACTGGAATAATGTGCTCTGGCTGCTGCTGAACCAAACACATTTCAGGAAGCAGGGCTCTTCAGGCAAAGTGTTGAAGTTTGCTCAAACGTTGACCTGAACATGGACCGGTGGCTCACATCAGCCTGGTAATGGCACTGGAAAGAAAGTCCTCGTAGCTGAGACGGATGTTGCCCACCATGGCGGTGTCTCGCTCCTTGAACAGCTGCGTCATGCTCTGCAGCTGGGTGCACACCTGGATGAAGCGGTCCAGCTGAATACCAAAGTTTCTGCCTCTCACACCGTGGCGCTGCACCAGCATCTCACAAAACTGTGGGCTCAGGTTGTAGCCCATCTGGGCCAGAGCTGGAAAGAGCAGAGGGAGTCATCAGGAAACATGGATCACCTGTATCACCTGTATCCAAGGTATGAACTACAGAGGCTTCCGGAGGAGCCCAGAGGCACCAGGGGGGCTTGGTCCCCAAAGTGCCTTGAAACGGCCCTGGGTGTGGAACTGAGTTTAGAAGGTGATCTGAATTATGCTGAATATATAAATATTACATGCTTATTGCTTTATACAGGTAAAATGGCGTAGTGGAATAAATACATTCATCCATTTTCAGCCTCTTATCCAGAGTCGGGTCGTGGGGGCAGCAGCCTAAGCAGAGGGGGCCAGACGTCCCTCTCCCCAGCCACTTGGGCCAGCTCTTCCGGGGGAATCCCAAGGCGTTCCCAGGCCAGCCGAGAGACAGTCTCTAGCATGTCCTGGGTCTTCCTTTAGGTCTTCTCCCAGTTGGACATGCCCAGAGAACCTCACCAGGGAGGTGTCTAGGAGACATCCTGACCAGATGCCTGAGCCACCTCGACTGACTCCTCTCGATGAGGAAGAGCAGCGGATCTACACCGAGCCCTTCCTGGATGACCGAGCTTCTCACCCTATCTCTGCGAGAGAGCCCAGACATCCATGATCCATGTATCCATGATCTCGTTCTTTCAGTCACTACCCAAAGCTTTTGACCATAGGGTAGGGTAGGAATGTAGATCGACCGGTACATCGAGAGCTTCCATTTAGTGTAGTGGGATAAATCTACCAACATTTCCATTTTCAAGCACTTTGTTTTGAGTTTTTTGACTATTTTCCGAACCTTTCTGTCTCTGATCTTCCAGCATCTCCTCTCAATCCTCCAGAAAAAATGCTTGCTGGCTTCCCACTTTTTCACCTCATGTGTTACTTTTGAACAAAGCAGATCAATGGGACCGCAAAAATAGCAGAGAGCACGCTGCGCGGCCGCGCCAGCGAGTTGAGGTCACCGTAGTGCGGGTAGTGAGCTCTACTGCAGCAGAGCGTGTCAGGAACAAATAAAAGACAGAAAGTACCGGAGAATATGAGCAGGCATGGTTGATCGTACGTTATTTATATTTTTGGGCACCACTTTGAGAATGTTAAATTGGCGGTGTGCAGGACGCAGCTTCCTGCAGAGCGTATCACCAATCAGCGCTTCACTGTTGCGCCGCTCTCTGTCCTCACCGCTCAAAAAACACCTGTAATGCTGAGAATTCATATAAATAATGTCATTTAGGTATAAACAAGATCTTTTTTCGGGCTCCCCTTAGGTGTGTAAGTTGAGGGCATCTAGGGGAGCCTGTCACCCTTTCAGGGGAGCAGGGCACCTTTTAGCACCCCCGTATTGTGAACCCTGCCTGTGTCATACACACAGGTAGGGTTTCTAAAGAGACAAATAGAGTCAGTCCCATGAAGGGCAGTCAGCTGGGCATGGGGCCATGGCTAGAAATGACACATCTCCCCTGGTTCTAAAGCAGGTCTTACGGACCATGAGAAAGTTATGGCCGGGGGACTGCAGCAAGCTCCCAGTGGTGTATGGAGGAGTCAATGTGCTCTTTGCTTCTCCCAAGATCTCCCTCCCACCTGTGACTGTATAGTAGATGAGCGCCTTAGATGGCTGCTCTCGCTGGGAGAAACAGGACCCCCCCCCGCCCCTATTGGAGTCTCATGTTGTGAACTGTAGATGTTCGTGCTTATATGTTTGAGGTGGGTTTTTTGCATAGCAAAGCTACGTACGCCCTGTCGGGAGTAACTCTGGAATGCTTTTTTTCCCCTCCCCCAATTTATCCTCATGTAATCCCCTTTTCATCTAAATGAAATGAGCGCCTTTCATGGCTGCTCTCGTGGTCTGCCTGTAGGGATGGGTACCTTTGACATTTGAATCGATCCGGTACTAATTCCCGGTACCTACGAATCGATACCGGTACTTAACGGTATCAATTTTCGATACTTTTGAGCGTTTATTATTTTAATTCTCTTTTATAATTAAATATATATTTTTCTCAATATATAACAATATGTGATAAATATCACAATAAATAACATTCAACTGTTTGTATTTTAACATCGTCCTTGTAGTTTTATAAGCTGATAATTAAACTGAAGCAAACATCTTTGCTGTGAACTAATTTTACTGTGTATCCTCATTCCTTTTGCTGTCTTTTTTCATTTGATTTTTCCTACTGGGAAGTTAGAATTTCTGAGGAAAGCGAACGCACCATTAGCTGATAACAATGGTGGCAATGGAAGCTAAGATATCAAGCTAACATTATCTTGAACAGTTTATTTAGCTGCTGGAGCAGATTAAAACGATGATGCCTCACACTTAGATCGTTGTCACTGGTTTCGTCTTCACCCGTCGCATTTAGTAAAGTGAAGCCAAACTTTAGAGCGCGTTCATGTTCTTCTAGTCGGGAATTCGGAGCTCCGAGGAGAAAGCGAACGCACCATTAGCGAAACGGAAGCTAACATATCAAGCTAACGTTATCTTAAACATTTTATTTACCTACCGGAGCAGATTAAGATGAGGATGTCTCACTTAGATCATTGTCGCTGGTTTCATCATCACCCAGTTACCCATCACATTTAGTGAAGTGGACCCAAGCTTTAGCGTGCGTTCTTTCTACCATGCTGCTCTGTTTACAACTGGTTCGCAGCGAGCGACGACATAACACTCTTGCGCATGAGCAGCTGTCTTGGCAAGTTCTCGTTATGATGGACGGGTACCGAAACGAGGCACCGTTTGAAATGACGTGAATCGGTGCTCGGTCGGTACTATGGAATTTGTTCGGTACCTTAAAATGTACCGAATTCGGTACCCATCCCTATCTGCCTGTATCTGTTTTGTCTACATGTGTGTGTAACCTTGGTCAGGCTGTGCTGCAGAGTCAGATTCCTATGCTTCGGGATGCCGGAGCACTGGCAGTAATACTTTTCTGATTCTGATGGGGTCAATAGGTCACATGTATACTTTGGGACCTGACCTCACAGAGCTCTGCAAGTCAGAAATAAAGTTTCTAAATCAATTCTGTATTTTATGGAAACAGTTCAAATCCAGATGTGAGCAGTGTCATTACCTCACTTCTCCTCATCCATCTGGGTTTAGCAACAGAACCGGTTTGGATTAAGAATCAGAAACCTAGGTATACCTTGGTGCAGCTCGGTGCCACTGATGCATCCAGATCGGTCTCGGTCGCAGTTCTGGAACATGGCTCTCCACTGCTGCAAGAAGTTCCACAGAGCCGAGAATCCAAACAGATCTATCCGACCCGACCGCGTCTGATCAAACATGTCTGACGGTGGAAACATAAAAACAAGCTTTGTTTCTAAACTTGAGTAGAAACATTTCATCGTGTCCAGGTTTATTTGAGAAGAGCACGTCCTTGTCCCCAGAGGTGACTCGTTCTCCCGTCTCCAGAACGAGTCAGCTCCTGGCACCAGGAATGTAACAGAACCACTGTTGGACTGGAAACAAACACGTCTGAACTCCTCCCAGAACCATCAACTGTTTTTACTTTAAAGTCTGGAATATCGGAGCTAAACAGAGTAGGAGTTCACATTTACATTGGACCTGTTTAGAAGACCCTCCAAAGGTTAGAAAAGTCACACAGCAGTCCCCGCCGGTTTTGCCCCAACCTGCAGCAGCTGAGTAACTCACTGATCATCATGAGGCAAGTTTCATCGTTAAAGCTGGACCAGTTGGAGTTGACAAGAGCCTGTTTCAGCTCCTTCAGGTTGATGAATCCGCTCTGATCTGTGTCGACGGTCTGGAACCACTGATACGCCTCTGGGTTAACACCAGGGGGGACATTACCTAGATGAAGGACAAACGTGGAGACATTAAATGATGATTAGATCAGCTAAATCTCTATTTGAGGCAAGAAAACTATAAATTGTTTTTCCATTAAACCTAAATCATCCCTGGGAGGATGACCTAGTAAACTTTTACTACACAGCTTTACCCTAGAGGTCGACCTCCAAGAGAGTCGGATAGTCAGAGAGACGGGTGATTCTTTAACATGCAAACATGATGGGGTGGAGAAACGTGACTTTACCCCATCCAGTCAGGAAACGCAGGGTAACCCAAATGTTGAAGCAGTGGCCAAGTATTTTGTGGGAACCACAAACGAATCCACCACCGTCCCCTCTCCCGCTAACTGGCACCGTACGGGCAGTGACTGTCTTCTGGTCGTTCTGGAGCTGAACTGCTCCATATATTGTTATATTGATTTGAGGCTTTACTGCCCAGCCGTGACAGAGCATATAAAAACCAAAATCACGATAAATATGGAGACAGGCTGTTGCTAGATAGTTGGTGTGACAGGTAGTCAACTTGAGTGGAAAGCCTTAGCAGCAGACCTATTTACTGTCTAAGGCAGTGATGATATCAACTTTCACCATATCAGGTCTGAAAGAATGAGGTTGGAGATGAGGTGCTTCACTGTTTGAGTACCAACTTCTCAAGGACTAGATAAGGTAACATGGAGATGGGTCCATAGCAAATAGGGTCAGACTCAGAGCCACCTTTGTAGAGGGAAAAGATCATGGCTGATTTACAATCTGGAGGAAGGATAGAGAGCCGTCAGGACAAGTTAAACATTATTGCGATGGGAGCAGCAATAACGAGGCCAGGTGCTTTTAACAACATGGGGTCTATGTTGTCATAACCAACTGTTTTATTTGGGTTCAGCGTGGTGAGTTCATCCTGCCCCTCTGGGACAGAGAGAGATTTAAAGGTTATAACGGTTTGGATCGGTGAAAGCTCTGGTTGAGTTAAACCCACCCCTGTCTCTACATGTCCTTCCTCTCCGTCATCCCCGCTGGAACACGACAGGAAGACAGAGAACAGCAGCAAAGAAAGGAAACCAGACAGATGTTATACAGATGTTTAGAGCACTGGTCCATCACAGAGCTCACTACCTGCAGGTGCTTGAGATCTGTAAGGCTGTCCCCCGTAACCACCAGGACCATACTGTCCACCATGGGCTGGAGCTCCATTACCCCCATATGGACTTCCTGCAGCACCACCCCCATAAGGACCTCTGGGTCCGCTGTAAGGAGAACCTGGTGATGGGTTGCCCCCACCTGGATAACCCTACAAGAGGACTACAGTTTGATTAGACAGAACTTTTCACAAATGAAAACATTACATCGGTCTTGACTCTTGATTCTGCCTTTTGAACTAATATTATTTCCTGTCTATTTTCTAATAGATAAGGACACGAAGACACATGTAGAAATCTGCATTTCTTGACGTTTCACAAATCAGATAAAAGTATCACAAATCACTAACTACATTTTAAGTAAACTGCTATCAGTCTAGAACAATCTTCAGCTCTGTAAGCCAAGCAGACATTTATTCCTTACCAGCTTTATTTAAAAGCATATAAAACCCAGATATATAATCCACAGCATTGGCTGCTCCGTAGGTATGAATAGTAGACATCCCATTGGGTGCTGAAGAGTGGAACGCCGTTGGCGCCATATTGGATGGGTCACTCACTCTCCAAACCCAACTGGAGTCAACACGGAATGAACAACTATGCTCGTGTTTTTGTGCAGCCTACGGTTGCAACAACCGGCGCATCAAAAACAGATCACGTGGGACTTTTATAGCCTACCTCTTGGGATTTTATATATTATTTCTTTAGTTTGATTTTGTTTTATATGTTTTTATTTTAACTATCATGCTTTATAGCAATAAAGCAATACATTCAAAATTTCAGCTTGCATAATTTCAGTCTATACAAAATTTGCTGATTTCAGAAGAATACATCAGTATCGGTAAATATCAGTTATCCACCATAACAGTGATATTAGTATCGGTATGAACACACGAGTGAACACATCACTCCTGTATTATCTTCACTGCACTGGCTGCCTGTCCATTTTAGGGTTCATTTTAAACTTATTTAGTTTGTTTTTAAGTCTTTAAACGGTCTTGCCCCGCGCTACCTCTCTGCGCTACTGCACCTTCACTCCTCCTTTCAGTCGCTCGATCAGGTCATCTGACCAGTTGCTCCAGGACGTTCCAAGGACACAGCGTAAGCTCAGAGGGGATAGGGCCTTCGCTGTTGCTGCTCCCAGACTATGGAACTCTTTGCCGGCACATCTTAGAAAGGCCTCCACACTGGAAACTTTTAAATCATCTTTAATGACCCACCTTTTTAGCTTTGCTTTCGACACTGTATGAAGTTTTGGATTTCTGTTTTATTTTAGTGTGCTTTTAACTTCTATACTGTATTCTATTTTATGCTTTTATGTTTTTATATTCAGCATTTTGGTCCGTGACGGCTGTTTTAAAGTGCTTTATAAATAAAGTTGGCTTGGCTTGGTATCGGCCAAAAAGATTCATATTGGTGCATCCCTAATTAAAGGTTCACGTTTTAGTTTTTTTTAATAACATCATAGCGCTAAGCTCACGTTTTCTTTAAAAAAAAAAACCCTGCCCAAAACAGCTGTTCTGCTGGTGGCAAGAGGCCAGTCTGCAAAGGAAGACAGTTTGCTGCTAAATGAAATAGCCTATGTAGTAGAGCCCTTCTAGCCAATCAGAGGCGAGAAAGGCAGGATCTTCCTTGGCCATCCTACAATTCTAAATCACGTCCGCAGGGCGTCTACGTGCTCAGTGAGAGCAACATAATGCTAGCAATAGAGCACTAAAGGCTAACTTTAATCGTTTTCTCTATTTAATTGGAGTTGCTCCGAGGAATAAAAAACAAACAATGCATAAATTTAACTATTATACATTTAGGTGGCTCGGGCGAAACCAGAAAAAGAAGTTTTCCTACCTGGCCGTAGTGGAAACTCATGATTTGTTTTAGAACACTTCTTTCAACAAGACGTCTGTAAAACGGGAAACAGAACCGGCTTTTCCTCGATGGCTATTGGTTCGTTGACCTGTCCATCAAATCTACACTCGTAAACTCTGCTTCTCATTGTACGATAGGGTGGAACAAATGATGACGTCAGAACCAAAACAAGAACTTACATGTACATTCCTGCTCTGAGGTAAAACCATCGCTGTTTAATGGTGACTCCTCCTATCTGTGATAAACGCAGTGCGTCCGGTCAGACCTTTTTCTTCGTTTTTTCAATACAAACGCATTTTTTTAAGCAAAGTCTTTTTACGTTTTTAACATTTAAAACTAACAACAATCCTCCATCCCCACCCAGCCCACTACACTGGACCAACTAAATAAAAAATACATAAAACAGGTCTCATGGACGGTGACACTGATTAAATTCAAGTTTATTTATAAAGCACCAATTCAGACAAGAGGCGTCTCAAGGCACTTCACAAAGTAAACATTCCAAAACAAGTCAGTTCATTAAGCTAATCAGGAAAACTTTTCCTATACAAGGAATCCAGCAGGTTGCATCAAGTCACTGACTAGTGTCAGAGTCTTTACAGCAATCCTCATACTAAGCAAGCTTGCAGCGACAGTGGAGAGGAAAACTCTATTTTAACAGGAAGAAAACTCCAGAGGATACTAGCTCAGTAAAAGCAGCCATCCGCCGCCACGACTCACTGGGGATGGAGAAGACAGAGCATGCACGCACACGCACACACACACAACCCCAAACCCACCAAGAGACACACAAACAGCATCCATTGCTGCAGAAATCCAGGTTTTCTTCGGAGATTCTGGGCCGCCTACTATCATTCTATTACATATCCCGCAGTCCTTTCCAGAGGATTGTCCACTAAAGCATTCTATCAAGCCTCCCACGGGCCTAACACCGGATCACAGCAGCTGCAGGGCACAGTGACGTGGATTGCTCTGTGTGTAACAGTTTGCTCTGCATGTTGATATCAGGAACTGCGCTGATCCTGCTGCTGTTTTGCAGACCAGTTCTTTTCTAAATGGTAAGTAAATAATTTGTTTGTGGTAGTGTACAATGCTGTTGTATATTTATCTTTGAATTAAACATATTTGTTTGTATTCACATTTATTAAATCCATCTTTTGCATTTAAAATTATGGAAACGCTGTTTCTACGCAGGAGCGTGTTTGTTTATTGTCATCTCTCTACTCTGTTTGGATACACAAAAATGACCACATTTATCAATCGCAGTGTTTTATTTTGAAACATTTCTTTATTTTGTTAAATTTACCAGCTTGCCTCTTCTGTTTGACTTCCTGCCAGAATTCACGCAGCTCCCTCACGGCTCACGAAAACAGAGCACACGCCAAAATGATCGCTGCATGGCGTGGACCTTCGTAGCACTCTGCAGCTGGTGTGACCGAGACCGTAGGTTAATAAGGGCACCGAAAAGAAGCGCTCATCGTTCCACGGCGCTTCTGCATCTGATGTGATCTGGGCACAAGTCTCCTCCCTTTCTGGTCCACTCATGGGTCCCCGGAAAAACAACAAAATGAATGCAAGTCAATGGAGCTAAAGGGGCTATTGGGGCAACAAAACCTCAGGGGGTAGAGCGGGTTGTCCAGTAATAGGAAGGTTGCAGGTTCCATTCCGGCTCTCGACAGAAAATCCTGCTGTAGTGTCCTTAGCAAAGACATTTTCACGTCTTATTTAATCAATTTTGAAGACTTTGGAGTTCCATACATGGGGGCAACCTGCATATATTGGTATCGGTTTATATCAGTATCAGAAATGAAGTTAGCCCGTATCGAACATCTCTACATTAAAGTATATGACAGAAGTCGTTTTAGCCAGATGGTTTATTACAGAATACATACGGAACAAATGACTGCTTCATCGTGTTAAAGGTAAGGTGACTAGAAAAACAGCAATTATAAAAATGACAGGCAGGACGTTTCAGAAGTTTGTCTCACTTATTTCTACCTTCATAACTGCGTTGCTGCAGTTAGACATTGTAGCCATGATGGTGACATTTCTACCTTTGTGTGTTAGACTTTGACCTTGGGCTTTGGCTCTGACAAAAGATCCCTTAGTGGTTTTAAACATCTCTTTAAAAAGTTCCTGACCGCACTCCTTACTGTGGTCAAAGATTCCTACAGCATAAGCAACTGAGTTGAGGTCAGTCGGCACCACAAACAAGACGGCGGCTTTCTCGGTGAAGGATCTGGTGGAGTTATTGAAGAGGTCGTAGGTAAAGATGCCGACAGATCCTTGAGTCGTGTTTGGAGTTGTAGTGAAGCTTGCCTCACCAGAAGTGGAAGATCGAATAGTAGGAGGGAAAGGAACAGAGCAGCACCCACTGTTGAGGTAAACACTGTCCACACAGAGAAAAAAAAGCATTTCCACGTGAAAAGGTGAGGTATAACAAGAAAGAATCTAGTGAGATGGTCTGAATTTACCTTGGATAATAAAGAGTGTAGTCTGAAGTGTCATTTTTCAGCTCAATGGAGCACTGGCGATGTGTTGCTGCTGAAACAGGCGAAGGACCAGGACCTACAATGCCAGCTGCACTGTGTAGGTACTCCATGAGAGCCAGCATCTGCTTCAGAATTAAAGCACAAAACTGTTTCATGTGCTTGGTGAAATCCAACTGTGCAAAGAAGCTTAATGTGGAAACAAACAAATTACATCAATTTTCCTGTTTTCTTGGAACTGGAACAACGTTGAAGGGCTTGGAGGGAAGGAAGCAAGGGAAGAGGTCTCCGAAATTGGCCCCAGGGTGGGTGACACAGGGCTTGGAGAGTTTGAAGGACTTCCGGGGCATGAGAGCTGGGTGGATGTGACAGAACCCTGCTTCTGAGTGGACAACAAAGAGCTTTTCTCATGGGCAGGCGTTGGGGAGGATTGCATATGTTTCTTGAAGCAGATGGAAAGATGGTTTTTGATATCGCATCTCCTGAGGATCGTAGCTGAGCAGTACAAACAATGAAAATGTTGTTGCTTCCTGCAGCCAAGTGCACATCTATGGATGGTATAATCTGAAACGTCACAATAACAATTAATAAACACTCTACAACTATAGGTATATTTACGTCAAAGGAAATTGTGCTTATTATTCACAGAAATACCGTCAACGAAAAAGGCTCTTCTCATATGTCCGTTCATATGGGACCTCAGCTTAGACTGTCTGGTTGGCTTGAAAACTTCTGTCACGCAAAAAGGACAGTGATACAGAGGAGTCGGGCAGCAGCTGCATTTTTTCATTCTTGGCAGGGACAACCCCTTCTGAATTGTAATATGGAACTGTTGGGAGATGGATAAAAGGTTAAAGGCTAAAATGAAAGTAAGATCTCCAAATGTATGCAAGACGTGGGATGATGGCTACAAGAAAAACTGGAAACGAGTGAACTTTATCATGAAGGTGACCAGATGTGGATAAAATTAAATCTAAAAATAAAAACTCTCATTGTGTTTAAAAGCAGGACTGTTGTAGTTTGACAAAGTTTGTTGGACTGAGCGTTTGTCACCAAACCTTCCACATAAAGTGGGATAAAACCTGCATCTGCGACAGTAACAACTCACGGTAAGTATACACATACCAGTGGCTAAGCCATAAACACGGTAAGCTGAAATAAACGTGACACGGTCGCTAAGCATCGAGGTAAACATGACTTTAGTTTAGAATAAACACGTTTTACTAACTAAAGACTTTTTGAAAACCAAATGAACTAGTAGAGAACCTCAGCAGGAAACCAGATGCCGTGCTAGCGAGACGAAATAAAGAGCAGTGTCATTTCAAAATGACCGGAAGTAAACAAAATACCCAAACGACTCACTTTACTTTCTTCCTCTGGTGCGGCACAAAGTGAGGCATGGTCGTCCATATCGACTGTAGACAGCTAAAAAAAAAAAAAACCACAACGACGCTCTGAGGCCCCGACTTTCCGAGGTCTCTTCCGGCCTACGCGGGTCTTTTCCGGTCTACGCACGCCTTTTCTGATTCACGCATGCGTATAAGAAATTATCTAGTTCTTTGTTTCCACCATAGACAAGAAAACATCAACGCAACAGCGCCGAAGAACGTAACAGCACCGGCGCCATATTGGATGGGTCTCTTCACTCTCCAGTCAAGGCAGTGAGCAACTATACCCGTTTCTGTGCAGCCAGCATACTATTGACAACAGATCACATGGGACTCCTTTTCTAACTTACTTGATGGGATTTTGGATTTGAATTTTTATTTATATTTAAATTATGTTTTCTGGGTTTTTGAGAATGCTTGATAAAATGTTTTTTGTTGGACAAGCATTTTCTTCAGTAGAAAAGTAATGCACCTGGGGTGAATAGAAACCCATCTAAGATGGCAACCAGCCACTGTCAGCTCCAATAGGCAGCACCAGTTCACATGATGTCTACGCATATGTCCGTGGTTTCTCCCAGACCTATGGATGTGTGTACACACAAAAAAAGGTACCATCCAATGAGCTTTTACTTGTTGTTGTACTTTAAATTTGTGTATTTCTTAAACAAGTACAAATCAGCTTGACTTTATACCCAGATGCTTTGGTGTCATGATGTAACACCATCAAAACAAAACGCCCTGCGACCTAAGGATGATGGGCTTGTGGCCAGGCAGGACGGCTAACCTGAGGCTGGCTGGTAAGCAGCAGCTGCTGACAGGACCCTCTCATCTCCACCGCTCCATGCGAGGATGTAGAACTAGCAGGAAAAATACAATAACAAATTCAATCTTTATTATCAAAGCAAATAATCAGGGAAAACATCCTAAATAGTGGGTTTAAAAGTAAAGCACACCAAACACCAGGTTAACATTCCAACAAGTGCCGCACTTTTGAAATATAAAATATGCTGCCGAGTTACAGTAACAACGTGAACAGTGAACAGTTTAAAATCAATGTTTGATCCTTCTTGTGTTTGAGTAGAAAAGTGAATAAAAGATTGTAATCAGAGAAGCATTATAATGAACCAGAACATCTCCAGTGTAGAAAACAACCAGACTGCTGTCAAGACGTTTATAATATTCACATAGAAACGTGCAGAGCCTTTAACCAGGAGCAAAACCCACATAAAGAAACTGAAATAAAAAAGTGAAAACATAAATAAATTAGAAGTACACACCAAAATGTGAGTCTAAGTCTTTTCATTCTCCGGTATTAGAAAAAACAGAACAACTAAAGTGACCCCTTGTGTCAGCTGGTAGAAACTCTTCATGTACGATAGTCACTGTGATCTGTGTGAGTTAAAAGCATCTGATCACAGATCAGCCTCATCATTCCTGGGTAAAATGGCTGGGATCAGCTGAAGCAGAAAACTGTCCGATGTTAAAATAGCTCAAACTAAAGCAGAGACAGGGAAGAGCAAAGGCCCTCTGGAAAGTTGGGATGCTCCCAGACGTCCAGAACCACAGATGTCATCTCGTCTGCGCTCCGATTCCCAAAAGCCACCGCGGCCTGCATCTGGGGAAAGAGAGCAAGCAAACAAGCTGGTTTCTATTTCAAATGTAAACAAAGACACACTACAGATACTTCAGCAGATGGGTGTACTGGAAGTGAGGACGGCCGAGATTTACTTTGCACAATCATTTCAAACAGTTGAGTTTGTACCTGCCACGGGGCTCAGTAGCTAAAAACTACAGCACAGTCTGGACTCCACAGTCCACAAAGCTCTGGAAACATCAGAGAACAAGAACAATGAGAACAAACCCACATATGTTCCTTCAAAGACCTCAACAGCTGTCATAAAAACACAAACAGCACGGCCACAAGGTCTCTTGTAGATAAAATGAACAGAGATCATCTTCAGCATGTGAACACAAACACAGCAGCACCATCTAGCGGTCAGCACTGATATCACACTTACAGAAAACACATTGGGCCAAAACGTTGTTTAGTTCGTTAAATAAATAATATATTTTAGAAATTTAAATGTTTTATTTTAATCCAAATAACCTTAATCAGAATAAATAATCACCTGATTGAAAAGCTGTGTCGGTCGGTCTGGAGTCCAGGGAGCTGTGGTGTACTGCATGGTGAGGGGCTACAGGACACAACAGTCCAGTAAACAACAGAAATCCAGATGTGCTTCTACAGGAACAGTGGGGGTGTAGAGTGTCTAGATACCTGATAATAAGGACCATGTGAGTAGTTCGTGGACATCAGAGGAAACACCACCTCTCCAAAGTTGTTGTATGAGTACGGCTGCAAGCAGCAAAGAGGACACATTTACAAACTTTGGCCTTTTTACTCTTTTCCTTTTTGAAGTAAACTGAAACGTTAACAGAAAAATCAAACCAACCCCTGATTAATTAAATGTTTAGCCTTAAAAGCTACTTTCTATTTCAGTTTTCCTGCAAGCCGACGTGAGATCGGCTCACCCATGAGAGGGACGTACCTGATTATAGTGGGTCCTTCCACTGGGGATGGGTGAGGGTTGAGTCATCCCTCCTCCCACAGGCGAGCAGCAAGGACAGTAGACGTAACCTGAGGGACTTGTCCAAGTAATCGGTCCAACTAGATGAGAAACAATTGGACCTGGAAACACAAAAATATCACTTCGATCAAAGGATGGTGTCCAGCAGGAGGGGAAGTTTGCACGGAGAATAAGAAACTGAGATAGCATGTTAACATGTATGTGGATGTGCTTTCTATTGGCAGGTGTTTACTTATAGAGCTCCGGGAGTTGACGTCACTTCTCCCGGCATGCAACAGTTCAAATCGAAACGGCGCCATATTGGCAGGCAGAAGCCGGCAGCTGGACTATTTGTTATTGTCAGAAAACTCAATCAAATGGGAAATATGGTAGATTCCTGTTGTGCCCCAGGATGCAGAACAGACGCGGACGAAATAAGAAATGAGCCGGATTCCCCAAGATCCGGAGAGCTGCAAACGTTGCATCATTGTAATAAAACGCGCTAGTAGTCTATAGGCTAAAATGAAACTGTGGGATCCCGAGAGTAAAGGTTTTCGCTTATGCAGCGACCGCTTCATATCAGGTACTTAAACCAACATTTCCTCAACTGTGTTTGGTATTTATTTTAAATGCTTTTATTACGATTCTTAGTGGGCTTCCTAAACTTATTTTGGCGTGGCTTTTTCTGTCTTATTACTCATAGTAACAAGTAAACATCACGTAAAATGTTGCCTCATGAGTTCTGCGTGTTGCCGTTTACGTGTTTTATGATCACAGCAATTAACCGGCTAAGCTGTATTTAATTTTTAAGCAATGGTTGATCAATTGTCAGATCACACATAAAAAGCACTTTGGATTGCTATCATCTGTCTCACCGAGACAGATCTCAGACAGACCCTGAGACGCTCCAGCCTGACATATTTATTTTATTCATGGAAAACAATCAGACTAGTGATTTCTCTTGGCGTTCAGTTTATACATTCAAACAGCACAGCACTCTATTTAAACTACTTACATGTAAATCTGTTATTTGTCCATCCATCCATTTTCATCCGCTTATCCGGAGTCAGGTTGCGGGAGCAGTAGCGTTGAGAGGCCCAGACTTCCCTCTCCCCAGCCACTTGGGCCAGCTCCTCCGGGGGAATCCCAAGGGGTTCCCTGGCCAGGTTCGGTATGAAGTCGGCTCCGACTGCTTCTGGCGTTTTTAAAAAGTATCCCAGGGGCACGGTAAGGGTCGGAGATGTTTAGTCTATTTAATTTCTGACTATATAAAACGATTTCTTCGGTTTTCAAGTGTGAAGTAAACTCCGACGAAGTAAAATCCAAGCCGATCCCGTTCAATTTGTTTACATTTGTTGCCTGCCAACATGGCTTCTACTCTCTGAGAGTCACGTGACGTCCGGAGCTCTATGGGAAACATTTAGGCTACATTCACACTGCAGGTTTTAATACGCAATTGTTATTTTTTTGAGTAAATCCGTCACACACAGTGGAGTCAAAGCCAGGAAAGGTGGAGTAGTGATGTTTAAGTCTGCACTGACGGTTCATCCACAATTTCAGGATCACACCTGTCAAGTCTCCCATTTTGGTCCGGAAACTATTTTAAAAACTATAAACTCTTTCACTCTTTATTCCCACAATCTTCCTGTGTTATCTTCCAGCGAGGTCCGCTCACTCCTCAAAGCCCGTGATGCCGCCTTCAGGTCAGGTGACAGAGCTCTGTACAGGGCTGCTCCAGCTGACCTGAAAAGAGGGATTAAAAAAGCCAAGTCAGACCACAAAAGGAATATGGAGTCCCACCTGTCCAGCAACAACACACGAGAGGTATGGCAGGGAATGCAAGACATCATCAACCACAGAGGCAGCACTGCGAAAACAGAAAACCTGAGTGTGCAGCTGGCAGAGGAAATAAACTGCTTCTTTTCGTGCTTTGAAACACCACAACAGCAACACTCATCTGTTTCAGCCCTGCTCCCATCCTCATCCTCACCTGGTTCTTACACCGCTCCACTCACTGTAACGGAGCACGATGTCAGACATGTGCTCCTAGCAGTGAACACCAGGAAGGCGGCCGGTCCAGACGGAGTACCTGGCAAAGTACAAAGACCATGCGCACACCAGCTCACCCTCATCTTCACCAGACTCTTCAGCCTCTCACTGGATCAGGCAGCCATCCCGTCCTGTCTAAAATCAGTCACAATCATCCCAGTACCGAAGAAGTCTCCCATCTCCAGCTTAAATGATTACCGCCCTGTGGCCCTCACACCAGTAATCATGAAATGCTTTGAGAGACTGGTCCTTCAGCACATTAAGGATCACCTCCCCCCAGAATTCGACCCCCACCAGTTTGCATACCGTGCAAACAGATCCACAGAAGACGCCATCGTCACAGGCCTCCACGCTGTGCTGAGTCACCTAGAGCAGCGGCAGAGCTACGTCCAAATGCTCTTTGTGGACTACAGCTCAGCCTTTAATACAATCATCCCGGCATCCTCATCAACAAACTGGTCACTCTTGGCCTCCCTCCTCTCACATGTGCCTGGATAAAGGATTTCCTCACAAACCGGCCCCAGACTGTGAGACTCGGCCCTCATCTCTCCTCCACTCGCACATTGAGCACCGGCTCCCCACAGGTCTGTGTGCTGAGCCCCCTCCTGTATTCTCTGTACACCCACGACTGCAGTCTGACCCACAATAGCACTCTTATCATCAAGTTTGCTGATGACCACAAAGCTTCACGTTGAAAATAAAAAACTTTCGCTTTTTTTTTTTATAGCTTGAGAGATTTGACTTCACCCATAAAGTCCTGCTTAAGTACATTTATGTAACTGATAAATATTCCTCTTGGCGTACTTTACCAAATAAAAAAAGAAAATTTAGCGGCGAAACGTTAATTAGGAGGGATTTGTCCCAAGTTAAAGTTAGCCGATGTTAGCTAGGGTGCCATTTTCAGATCGGCAAACGTGAACTAGGCTCTCCTAACAAACTCAAAAGATAAAAAAAATGCCTCAAGCTATGTTTACATGATTAATGTCGCTGCAGTCTAGATCAGTACGCATAAACTCACCATGTCTAAAACAAAAATAAAAATCTTCAAATCTTCCCTGGACATCAGCAAACGTCGGCGCCGAGATTAAACCACGCCTGCACAGTCACGTGACCCAATTAAACCAGACACTCGAATTCTTTAGATTAGATTTTCTCTTAGAATCTTTTTTGACTGTAAATGAAACTAAATTATTCAATTTTGGGGTAAGATTAAAACATTTAGTTACAGTCAAAATGTAATTTAGTAGCTCGCTTAAGTTTGAATGACAACAATAATCTATAACAGCAAGATAAGCATAAATAGGATTTATCCTAGTTATTGCTCCCAAACATTCACAAAACAAAGTCCACTGACTTAAACACAAGTTTGGGAGCCAAGAGGTAACCAGCACTCTGGTCCCTCGTCTGTTAAAAACTCTAAAAGCTCTTAAGCTTCACTAAGCTTAAAGAACTAAAACCCATTTAAAAGCCATTAAAACACAAACAAATGGAGCACATGAGAGAACTGGCACAGATCCAGTCTCTCCCTTCCTCCTGGCAGCTCTCCCTTTTATGCTGCTCAGGAGGTGATCAGCCCAAGTGAGTGCAGCTGTGCAGGTAGGAGGTGGAGGCAGCACTGATTGTCCTCTGCAGTGTCAGATTCCTGAGGCAAACAGCAACAGCCGTAACACTTCCTCCCTTAAAAGAAAGAAAAAAATTAAAACACGTTCAATCACAATTTTTTTTTTCCTTTCACCTTTGTCCTCCATGGCTTTTACCACAAACACTCCCAGGTCTTTTGTCCAACAAAAATTCCCTCTAGCTAACTGAAGGAGTCTTAGCTGATCTCCTCCCTAGTCTTCATGGGGCGTAGAGATGGGCCGATTAAGCACATGTGCCGAGGCACATTCAAACCAGCAAAAGGAGGGGGTTAGCCACAGCCCTTCCTGGGGTGCTCCCGAGATGGTGAACTGAATCACCAACACTAACCTCCATAACCCCAACTCTAGAAAAACAAAAACCAGAACGCATCCTAAAGAGGGTGCGCTCCTACAGCCTATAGGGAATTCACTCTGTTCACTTTAAAATTTAACAAGCACAACAGAATAAAACAAAAAGGACATACTCACAATACCCGAGAGGACACAGCTGACCACACATCTTAAAATCCTATGAATAAAACCTGTTTTCAAAAAGCACATGCCATTAAAAGTCCTTCATGGGATGGTTGAGATCCCGGACGAGCCCCCATTGTGTTACGTCCTCTATTGGTGGATATGGAGAAGGACGGGGAGTAACACAGAGGCATGTGCTTCAGATGTGGAAATTGTAAACATTGATTTATTAAAAGGATTTTAAAATGACAAAAAGCTCCAAATCTAAAAGTACTTAAACATATTGTTAAAATGGCCAAGGGTTTACATTTAAAACAGACATCGAATGCTCCCAAACATTCACAAAACAAAGTCCACTGACTTAAACACAAGTTTGGGAGCCAAGAGGTAACCAGCACTCTGGTCCCTCGTCTGTTAAAAACTCTAAAAGCTCTTAAGCTTCACTAAGCTTAAAGAACTAAAACCCATTTAAAAGCCATTAAAACAAAAACAAATGGAGCACATGAGAGAACTGGCACAGATCCAGTCTCTCCCTTCCTCCTGGCAGCTCTCCCTTTTATGCTGCTCAGGAGGTGATCAGCCCAAGTGAGTGCAGCTGTGCAGGTAGGAGGTGGAGGCAGCACTGATTGTCCTCTGCAGTGTCAGATTCCTGAGGCAAACAGCAACAGCCGTAACAAGGCCAAATATCCATATATCTTCGACGTCCTCAATGGACAGCTGAGAGAGACAAACGATCCTCCAGACCTTCCAGGAATCGAGCGCATATCCCGCTGCGTGTGTCCCTTGAGGGCACGTGGGAGCCCCCTCCTCCGTTCTCATCGTGGAAAAGCATGATGGAACCACCATGTTTTATTGTAGGTAGCAGGTGTTTTTCTTGGAATGCTGTTCTTACTCCTCCATGCATAACGCCCCATGTTCTGCCCAAGCCCCCACAATGCCGCTCAGAAAATGGTCCCAACCCGGAAGTAAGAAAAATTGCAGTTCCACCCTCATCCGCTGGGGGCTGGTACCAGAAGCGAGCAAATCCTCATTGACTCCCATGTTAAAAATGCCATTTTCACAGCAGAAATAAACATGTTTACA